CGTAGAACTGCTCCTCCACGCGCTCCAGCTCGTTCTTGTTGTAGCCCGGCGGCCGCAGCGGCCGCTGCTCGGCCGGCAGCAGCTGCCCCAGGCTGCGCATGCACGTCCAATCCACGCTTCCGTCTCGGGGTTGTTAGTTCGATTTATGCAACTCTGCCCCTGGCAGGCCCCCCATCAGCTGTTGGCGGTATCATCCAATCGGGAGCGTGAACGTCACCATAGTGACGTCTCTATGGTGGCAGGTATCAGCTGTTGACGGTATCATCCAATCGGTAGCGTAAACATCACCAGTGACGTCACCATCGTGGCAGGTATCAACCTGGCGATTTCATCCAATCGGGAGGTTGAACGTCACCATAGAGACATAACGTTGGTGACGGTTATGCTCCCGATTGGATGAAACTGTCAACAGCTGTTACCTGCCAGGGGCAGAGTCGCGAAAACCGCAGTATATAGTACGATTTATCGATACGTAATCGTAAAAATTGCCGATAATGGAGAAAATATGTGATATATCCTCACTCTCTTTAGATCAAACTTTACAAGGGAATGGCATAACCTTACAGTGGAATTTTTGGGATGCGACTTATCCCAGTGAGTAGAGAAACATATTCTTACCAATTTCAGATATCCTCAAACTCTGCTACACTGTTCATACCTACCAGGTAATCTATCATTAACGTGTAATGCAATAGCTTCAAATACCCGAACATTGTTTTCACCGTTTAAGATATCACAATTGGTATTTGAAACGTGACGTAGAACGCTCCCATTAAAGCTGTCCACCCCAACTGCCTCTAAACTTCCAGAGCTACACGTGGCAAGTCGTCTGCTGGTACGTGTCATCCAATCAGGAGCTTATACGCCACTACAGTGACGTCACAATTGTGACGTTCGACCTCTCGATTGGATGACACCACAACAGCTGATTTACGTCAGGGGCGGTTCTGTTTAAATCCAAGTGTGAAAGCGCGTGGGCACCGGCAGCGACTCGCGCCAGCTGTCCGAGCCGAGTGGAGGACGCGTCGCGACGGCGGTGCCTGAGGGGGCGCTTGTGCGGGGGAGGGGAGGAAGAGCGCAGTGGCTGACCTCAGGACGAATTGGCTTACGCCTCGTTCGTCACGGTCCCGTTGGCAAGTTCCCCAGTGAGAGGTACTTGCGAATTTTCTCAACAAATGAATTGGTTTTTCGTAGCAACATTTATTAAATTATACAATTTTTAATTACAATTTACATGAGAGAAATAAAAAATGATATTGTAATAGTTGTTCGTTTTAAGAAAAGGGTCTAACTGGCAAAGAAAATAAAAATTCTATAAACAGTAACACGTTTGTAAAAAAGTTTTTGATTCAAAATAAATTTCCAATTGGTTTCTACCTCAGTCCACCATAGAGAAGTGAGTTTTGATATTATTTTTTAACATCTTATGCTTAATACTTAAAAAAATATCCTTCATAATGTTTTGAGAAATTTTATGCAAAAATTCAAGTAATATATTTTACTTTAAACAAGTTTACGAAATTACTTAAAGTACCAATAATTGTCTTTGCATATTGTTTAAGTGTGTGTCAGTCTACAAGTATTCATCTTCGCACTGTAATTTTTATATGCATTTTATGTCTACAGTAATAGAATTTTCAAGAAGTTCAATATCACTGCACACGGGCTTCAAAATCACCAAACCTAATGCATTGCTCTCATTCCATTTGCGGCGACTTGCTTGTTTGTGCACACTGTTCCGCACCAAGTCCGGAAAATGAAAGATAATTCGCCTAACTCCTGGGCCATTAACTCTGGAGCCAATTTCATCAACTGCCCTGCAGTCCCCGCTGAAAGCCATTTTCTCTGCCGGTGGGTGACGTCCATCCCCTCTCCTAAACCACGCAGTTTCTGGGCTATTTGTGCAGTTTCCAATTGAAGTACCTCTGTCGGGTATGTTACATTTCGTAATTCGCTTGTTCTTGAGAAGCAATCTTTGTTTTGTGGTCCAGGAGAACTTAGTAGTAGATGATCAGTCATTTCTGTATCGAGCCTGCATTTTTGTAACAAGTGAATCGACAGGTGCTTGGTCATGATGTGTGCAGTAATGCCACTTTAAAATATATATGAAATGCTAAAAACTTATTTCGTTATCTTCAGCATTTCAAAAAATTTTTGTATGGCTAGTAGTTATTGAATGGTTATTGAGGAGTTTAATGGTTTCGGGTTGTCCCGTTTAGCAGAAATTGGCATCTCGTGTCTGAAACGTTTTAGATTTAGATTTATTCAGTCAAAAACACTAAAAACTGTATGTGCCGTAGGGGGGGAAATATTATCCGCGCACGTGTTCTTTAATTCCAGAATCTCTTCCCGTCATTTTAACTATAAGTAGTTGAATGGTGAGTAAAAGTTTAACATAAATAAATAAATTAAATTAATAAATTTTAACAATACAAGAAATTAAATGGACTACAAGAATGCTTACTACAAGAAATTAAATGGAGCAAACAAAACTTCAATCCGACTAATACTTCATGAGATACGCGTGAAATAAAGTTGTGCAGAAATGCGGAAATTTAGTGTAAAAATAGGAAAAAAAATAAAATCATTTATTCTCTCTGAAATCACGTATGTGGGTAAAGCTCACTACGGGAAATTCAATGGAGCAAACAAGACTTCAATCCGACTATTAGTTTAGGAGATACGCGTGAAAGGAAGTTGTACCAAAATTCAGAAATTAAGTGAAAAAAATGTTTAAAATTAAAATCATCGCTTCTCTTTGAAATCACGTATGTGGGCACAGCTCACTACGTGAAATTCAATGCAGCAAACCTGACTTCAATTCGACTATTAATTTCAAAGATACGCGTGAAACAAAGTTGTGCCGAAATTCGGAAATTTAGTGAGAAAATTGGAAAAAAATTAAAATCATCAATTGTCTCTGGAATCACGTATGTGGGTACAGCTCACTACGAGAAATTCAATGAAGCGACTTTAATTCGAATATTAGTGTAGGAGATGCGCGTGAAACAAAGTTGTGAATAAATTCAGATATTTAGGGAAAAAAGAGAGAAAAAATTAAAATCATAGATTCTCTCTGAAATCACGTATGTGGGTACAACTAACTACAAGAAATTTAATATACGACGGAGTATCGTTTACGTATAACAGAATACTTCTTTCCATACTTCTCTACATGAAGCCCTGGCTGAGTTGATGGGGGGAGGGGGAAAGGGGCAAGGCGTTTTTCCTTCATTAACTATTAATTTGTTATTACAAAACCAATTTGAAACTTCTAAAATCGTACTATTTATCGTTTCTTTTTTGCAAAGAACATTCGTGTCATCGGCAAACAGAATCCCCGAATCATTGACAATTCTTTCTTTCTTTGGTATTTTTCAGTTTATTTCCGTTTGATGTGCAGTCGAAAAGGAACATTGTACCACTGCCAAGAGTTGTGTTGTTTCCTGGACATGCAAGAGGTGCATAAAAGCCTCACGTTAGCTCCAACTCGGCAAGATCGATAGGTGCCGAATAGCGTAATTCTCAGTAAAAAGTCAATATATTTCTTCGCGTCGATCGATGTTCGAAAGAAAAAAATACGATGCCAAGAATAACTCAGCGAATGAGATTGCAATCGATCAGAACAACTGTTCTGTTGCCCCTATCATTATTCTTTCTGTATTAATATTTGTGATTTGAGAGAACTAACGATACGATCCGTAACAGTGTTTCACGCATTTGTTTACGTTTTTCTTTCTGCGAGAGACAAAATTACTAAACAGTTACCTGAATTTTTCATTGTGATTGTACTTGTTGTGTACTATGCTGGTATTTTTAGTTAGTCAAAAAAATTGAAATGAAGTGTATAACACTTATTGCGTTCAGAAATAAGAAGAAAAATTGAATTACACGCGGATTTACTGATTACTTTTAAATAATTATAATTTTGTAGAGTATTAATTCTTTTAATGCTCCCATATAATGAATATGGGGAAGTAAATTTTTAGTGGTTGATTCGTTAACAAATAGTCAATCGCCCTTATTTAATTTTTTGAAGTGCACAGTTTATTATATGATGCAATTTTATTGTAATATTGTTATTTGTAGAACAAAATCAGAAAACTTACGTAGAAAACCGTTAAAAATAAATGAGAAATTATAGGTTTGCAAGTAGTCACAGGTTGAGTGTTCGGGTCGTTTTGAGTGTGAGAGTAATTTCAACTATTCCCGCCTCAATAGATAAGGTCTTGTTTCAACTTTAGCTTTGATTGTCCCTTCAACGACAGGTACATCAGCTAGTATGAAAATAAATCCATAAAAAAAATAAAGAAGCAGTTTTGAAAAAGTGCCCAAATATAATTACACTTTCGAAAAACGCGACGCAGTCCCTTCGTGTAAATTGATGGGATCGTATGGATTTATTTTATATTAATTTCATTTGCACCGCATTTCGTTTCTCGTGCGCAAGCGAATGTCATTGTATTAAATGTTAAATTAGCTTAATGTTGAACTCCAACTCGAAGATTTCTACCGACTTAAGTGGCTCAGGACAAAAATCGATGTCGCTGCAGGTACTCTGACCGGTATGTGCTGGGTTCGAGTCCCACGGTGCGGTGGCAGGATTTTCGACACTATCTACATAGCTAGGTCGAGGGCAGATGCTGTCAGGAGGAGAATTCTAGGCCAGTTCGCAATAACTTTGCTCAGCGTGTAAACAAACGCACGTGGTTGTAGCTCGTTCTCATTTGCTGACGGATACTGCACTCGTTTTCAGGGCGTCGTGTGCTATACGAGATAAGTTCTTATCGAAATTGATTTATTTCTTGACTTTCTACGTAAACGAAGTCCAAGGCGACCTAATGTTCTCTTCTGACTGGAAGTGGAATTAGACTCATGAGCGTGACCGTAACGGCAGTGCTGTAGTGTGGCGGTGCCCTCTGAGAAAGCGTTCGTTCGCCAGGCTGTCGCGTCACGTGCCACGTGCGCGTGCACGTGGGCTGTGTGCTAGCAATGGGCTTCGGATTTCTCGGTTTCGGCAACGATTGTTTCACCAGTTGTAGTTCTGTTAGTGAATGAGACGGTTTTGAGAGTGTCTGCTGTTTTTGCCTTGCCAGTGAAATGTGGTGTTTGCTAATTGCGTTAAGTATTTAACGTAGGTCTTTATTTTTATTACGGCGTCAGACGCAATGAGTGAAGCAATACCCGAAACCTCAGGTTTGAAACATGTGTGGGAAGAATCTCTCAGAAATTAAGAGAGTAAGAGGATTTTTCATGTTTTTGAAACAAACGTAGTTAAAAATCCGACGATGACTCTGCGATAGGTGGAAGAAGAGGCTGCCGAATTGACAGAGGTCAATGTCGGAATAGTGGGTAAAATGCGTAGTGAATTACGGGTTACTAAAAACGTAACAACTCCATGTAAGACACTAAGAGCAAAAAACCCGTGCAAGGAGAGTGCAGCGAATTTGTTAAATCTGCCATTTGCGTTTGTTTTAAAAGAACAGTTCTGAAATCTTTCTCCGATACCTTGCCAGGGCACATCATATATGTAAGTACTCTGATAGCACAGGCACACAAAATAAAAATGAAGTTGGTATTGTGGTGAGTTTTCGTTGGCATTTTCAATTAAATAATTTTATGAATCGTTATTGCCAACAATATTGTTGGCAATGAAGATTCATAATTATTTTATTTTTTTTTTAAATTGTCGGACCCAAAGACTTGAAACATGTTTCTCTACGTATGTCAACGCATTAAATCCGAATCTGAAGCCAGAATTGCGCCACAACCTTCCAGTTCTTTTTAAATCGCGAAAAAACACCATGAACTTGTAAATTTCGCGGTGGTTTTTCGCAATTTAAAAAAAGGGAAGGTGATGGAGCAATTGTGGCTTCGGACTCAGCGCGTGGACATACATAGAGAAACATATGTCAAGTATTTGGGTCTGACATAGTTTTTTATTTTGTGTGCCAGTGCAGTTAACCAAATTAGTTGCATGTTGTAGATGGTATTTTGGGCGTATTTAAGAAATAGAAGGTAGTGTATATGACTCCTCTTATGTGGCACGAACTGGCATTTGAGTATGGCTGCGCCTTTCGCGTCGCGATCAATCACAAACTACTTTGCGAAGGGATTCATACAAAGTTTGTTTTCATGCTGAGTAAAGTTGAGCGAACGAACCTTAGCAGCCGGCTCCTCTGTTCGTCAATTTTGTGTAGTTTATCCGACCAATTCCAGGATGGCAGGAACTTTACCCTATCAAACGGGTCACGGACCGCGCTATCTTTCACTCCTCTTTCTTGTCCTGTCATCGCCCCTGCTTACACATACTGTGACCGTGGCGGGGTTCGTGACCCGGTTCGGGGCCAAATGTAGCCACCGGCTCTCGTCAGAAGGTCACGGGGACCGCTGTAACCGCGACCTTTGGACGCCTACCTGTTACGGCTCCCTTGTGATCGAGGCAAATGACGCAATCGCACACAAATTGGAGGTGAGTTGGAATCAGGACGGGTTTATTTTAGGGTTGTTTGGCTAAGGAAATGCAAAGGCGCTTACCTTGCTTTGAAATGACATTGGGTTCAGTTCAAGCACATTTATTAACATACGAGAGCAGTCCGCTAGGCGCGCGGGCGCCGCGGGGGTACGCTGGTTGAGATGCCGCTGGCAAGTTGCGCGTCCATCGGAAGGCGTTCCAAAGGGTCAACGCCCTTCGTCAGCTGGATCGGTCTCGCGTGACGTCGCCGGTTGGCCTGTGGTGATCCCCGCGCCTCACCAAGTGCCGCGCCCTGCCGCCCTCGCCGCGGATTCCCAAAGGCACGCGCCGGCGCCGTCTGTTGGGCGCCGCGAGCAGTCGGAGTAGCTTCGCTTCCGTTCCACAGTGCAATTCCCGGCGCGTTTTGGGACGCACACGTCACACTTGTCGCAAATGCTTTTGGTCTCGGCTGTATCTTCCTCTCCCGAACACGCCTGCCTCCACTCGCTCCCCGTGAATTTCTCTCAAACGCGTCCGCAACCACTCGCTCCCCGTATCCTTCTGTCCCTTCGTCTCCGGGTACAGATCTGCACAATTCTTCCCTCCCTCTCGTCCCGGGTTCAGTCTAGTCAGTGTGATTGGATCTGCGTCGAGTGAAATCGTCGCTCGATTTGATCACGTGCACGGTGAATCCCGGATTTTCATAAGTCTCAGCTTGTGTGGTTCCCCTGTCTGTATATCTTCTCATCTACAAGGAATCCCGAAGTAGTTTGTCCCTATCACATGGTTGCGTAGGTTTGTCCTCATCACAAACAGGGAAGTCCCGTCTTGTATATCGTCGATCAACTCCCCTTGGCGTGGCGTCTGCTATCTTGTGCGAATGTCCGAATCGTCACAATGCATACATCTCACTACACTACCACACACTGGGACACCTCTGGGGAGCTTAGAGCTTTCCCGGCTGGGGCGGTGCCCTGCTGGTGGGAGATATGTGCTTGAGAAAAAAACAAAACCGGTGTGTAGGTCGTCACCGAATATCAGTTCGGGGCAGGAAGATCAACATTACCTCCCAGTGAAAACGGCACCATACTTACAGGACTAATGAGTACAGCGGTTGACTCGCTCGGTAACCGGAAATAATTAATCGAATCCTGACAACTCGTGAATCGAGTCATCAATAGAATCGTGACAAGCTACGTAGCGTAGCTTTGCGAAACAATGTAATAGAACCTCTAAAAACATATCTTTGGCTACATTACTCCATAACAAATATATCGTAAATTGGAGATGCTTATGGTAAAAAGGTGAGGGGTAAATCTTGTAAAATGTATCGTGCTTTCAGGAAATAAATATTCTGAGTTGAATATTTTGCTTACTACTAACAAAGGACCTTTCAGCAGGTACAGGTAGAAAACTGACCTCATTTTCTTTCTATGGATAGATATTTCCTATTTATATGTGCTGTGAAAAAATATGTCGTCATACACTGAAAGTTATTGAAAAAAATACGAAAATTCCACAGTTTTCAAGACGCAAATCGACGCCCCCGCGGCGTTTGTGCAGCCCTGCCTATTGTGAGGGAATGTCAGATTTCGACCTGAAGCTGTAGAAAAGTCCCTTGTTCAGATACGGTACAGACATACATATCTTACAACAGTGATATAAACAAATCGGTTAACACGCAGTAAACAGGATATTGCAACAAGCATACTTATTCATATTTCAATTATGGAGCAACACGAAAAAGAAAATGCATGACTGCTGACTGTATGTGGTTGGAATCTTCGTCTTCGACATTTTTCTCCTTCGCACCTGTCTTTAACCTAGCAGCTGTGTTTAATTATTCGTAGAATAATGAAGATGGGAATGAATTAATCCACAGAGACAACATGAAATGAGATTTTACTGGTATCTAAATGTTGCTGGTTATTCCCACGCACCTGTTGTAATGACGTTGAAGTGCGAAAGTAAGAGGTTCAGCCTTCACTGGGCACCGGAAGAATCTTTTAATTATGTTGCAACACTTTTGCCAAAACCCTGTTGCTCTACTGCTGTCGTTCTTCGTATCTCCCATGGCCTGCTTCTATGAGGACTTCTCTTCCTAAAACACAATCATCACTTTAATTCCGGAAACTACAACTCGAAAATTAATTTTAATAATATGGTTACCTCATGCATCTTTGTTCGTGTCAAGTTCAAGTCTTAAGTTAGCTGTTGGTAAATAAAGAACTATTATTCTCTAAGAATCCTTATTTACTTCTTAGTATTCTTTTTTCCCATCGCAACCAGACCAGACCAAACCAGATTGTCATCTGTCTTATTTATAAATGAGTGTTGTCATTTCTGAACTTAGTCGAGAGCTCCAGGTTTAAACCTGTAATAGAAGAAGAGGTAGGAATGTGAGATAGCGAGGTTTTCGCTTCTGTATAGTGTTGACATTTGTCGAGTGACTGGAGAACTTCGTAGTCAATCATTGCATTTCCTCAACGGCAAGTTACTTCAGTCTTCCAAGTTTTCCGAGGTGGACGTTTGCAGTTATTAGTGCTGTGAAAAGTTTTTGTATTTCTGCAGCAAAGTGCAATTTTTTCGGCGTTTGGCGGAGATTTTCCAACAAATAAAGGAGGTAAGTTGATATGGAAATATTGCAGTTTTTTAATATCAGTGAGGATTTGAAATAAAATGAAATATTCGGTACGATATGTTGGCAAAATCTAAGATGGCGCGGAGGTTGTAATATGAGACACGTGATGGAAGTATCATATTACTACTAGACTGTTTTAATTTAATTCTTATTATATGTTTAAATGTCCGTATCAATTTTACTATTTCAGATGTCCGGAACAAAGTTAAGGAGGTAATGGAAAAATGTTCAGCTTAACTTGAGCCGAATGAAGTTCTTTGATAACGCTGTTTTATTGTATGAGTGTAGCAGGAACGTTTGCATTTCCAATGACAATTCTCAAACTCGAAAAAGAAGTAAAAGAAAATGTCAAAGAAGAGACCCACTTGAACAAAGAGAAGAATGTTTCAGACTCAAACATATCACGTGGATCACACAACGTTGATGTACTTAATTTTATTGGTCAATTTCAATCTATTTATTTATTTATTTACGTCAAAAACAGTTAAAAACTGTGTATGACGTGCTATGGGGAGAAGTTAATTTGAAGTTACATTTATCAGAGTCACAAGAATAATCCTGTTGGTTTGGTGACTGTACATTTTCTAAAGATTATATGAGTGAATTGTGGATTCAATGCATGTTATGCGGAATGTGGGCTCACAGTGTTTGGGCCGGTCCAGAGAGGGAGTCTATATTTATGATTATTGTAAAACAAAGTGATGTGTAAACGTGTATTTCTACTTATTGTACACAGTGTACGTCAATAAAGCAGTTGTTTTTTACATTTTGTAACAACTCCCTTTTTTGTTATACAAAACAGTCTTATATTACCACCCGAGTTTCCAATTAACTGGTAGTGACACTATTTAGAAAAAATAAAAATTACATAAAACCTATTATTTTTACGTTGAGGTTAATACAGCACATTTTATATTAAACGTAGTAAGAAATCTCAATTCACTTATTAGTTACGGTTATTCCGGGGCCTTATAGGTCTCAAAACAAAATGGTATCTCATTTTCCTAACTCTTCTCCTATCCTGGGCAGGCGGAAATAGTGCTGGCTTACCTTTGTCTTCCAGAGTATGAAGGGTGAGAGATTAGTCTCCCATCAATGTTCCGAGACTTAACTCGGCATTGTATAAGCAGTGAATTGGCCTTGAACGTAGTCATTATTGATATAATGTCACTCGCTACATTTCATCCCTATCGACCACGGGTTCGGCGCCATTAGTTTCCGGGCCTCCTGGCTGGTCACGTGTCTGGGGCCCTCGATGTCAAGAGCTGCTTAACCTCCGGGACTTGTGACGTCATGAAGCGTCGTTAAGCTGGTGTGGTCTACCGACGGCGCGGCGACGATGGTGAGAATTGATCAGGATAGATAAATATATTTATTATTTCTGCAGGTAAGTGCCTGGCACAACCTGGCGGCAGAACACTTCAATTTACATATTACAACTAAGAATAGCATTGCACTGTATTTTTAAAGCATTTTAAGACAATAATAACAATAATAGAAAAATAATAACAATAACAGCATTACCTCTACACTTTATGACCGTCCTGCACGGAATTTTTAACTAATAAATACACTGCACTTCACTTTACTTCACTACACTTGCACTTCACTTCTCTCTCTACTTCTCTATTGCACTACACTTCACAACACGTCACGACACTCCAATTCAACTACTACTTTAAATATAATTGTATATTTAATAAGTCAATGCATTTAATTGATTATCACAATACTAATAATAAAAAATAACAATTATAATGAAATTATAACTAAAATAATAACTATTTTCATAAGCCTAACTTACTAACTAATACATTTTACTAATGCCCTTAGTTAATCTACTTTTAAAACTTCGTACACCTAGAGGAAAGGGTTCCATGGCTGTCACAGACAGCTTATTCCAGTCCATTATTGTTCTATTTGTGAATAAAAATTTTCCAACATCTGTTCTCTGTTGCCTGAAGTAAATTTTGTGTTTGTGATCGCCACTACTAAAGTACGTGGGTCTGTCGAGTCGAATGAAAATATCTTTCCAAGCTGGATATCCGGCATACGCTTTGTACTTGGCACAGAGTCTTGCCTTAACCCTCCTGATTTCTAGAGACTTTCATTCTACTTTCTTCCTATTGCAGCGGGAAGTAAGTTTACACGCTCTTCTCTATACTCTATTCAAATACTCCTTTTATGAATTTCTATAAGGGTCCCAACTAATCGCCCCGTATTCCATTAATGGACGCACTAGAGATAGGTAAGCTAATTCTCTCGCTTTCGCAGTACTATTTTTTAGTATTCGCATGGTAAAGGGCTTTCCCTACGAGAGGTGATTGGCGACAAGAGAAGAAGGATTATGAATTTTGGAAATGTTGGAGTATTGGTGGTGTTCTGATGGAACATGTGCTGGAGTAACAGACCAAGGACCACACCCACATGGTTAAAATACTCCTGCCGTACGCAGAATTCAGACCAGCCGCATCCGACTCTCCATACTTCGAACGATTCTAAGTCCCTGTGCCATAAAGAAAGTCATATTTCCGTACGAATTCCTTTTTGCAGAGTGGTACGTTCAGCACCTTTTCTGTATCAAGTGTAAAATTCAAGGCTGTAATAAACATTGCTGGCTTTTTTATTGTGCTGATTCACTTGAAGTTTAATCTCTCTTATACGCAGGTGAATGTGTGTGTACTTGAGTGTGTGTGCGCGTGCACATGTGTGTGTGTGTGTGTGATTTATACAAATAACATTTGCTCCATTTCAGCTTGCTCCCAGCTTTTGCACGAGTACTTTGGTGCAGCCACGAAAAAACATAGAGCCGATTAAAAACGTCCAATCACAAATGTGATTTTTGGATAATATTTCGTGTAAAGAAACCCGCAATGCTTCTGAACGGCCTTTTTGCTTCGCGCAGAGGGAGGGGTCAGCTGATGGAGTTATAGGAGTGTGTGGAGTGCGGGGAAGGACGGGGCTGATTAATAGATTGTTTCCCTAGGTCTTTAGCCAGCCGACAGCCGTTACCCTTTACGCCCCGATGGGACGCATATTCGATCATAGACTAGACACCAACACACTTTGCGGGCTCCTCTAATGGAGGGTCGGCAGAACGAGACAACATACACGAGAGACAAGTCCCTCTGGGACGCCTATTCGACCTTTCACCAGACATCAACACACTTTGCGGGCTCCTCTGATCTCGGGCCAGCAGAACGCGAGGCCCTACGCGGCAGCGCATACATAAAGAACCAAGGGACAACCAACCATCCCCAAGGCGGGACTGGAACCCGCGACCCTTCGGACCGAAGCGCTGAGTCTATACACGCTCTTTGCCACCCCGGCCTTCCTCATCGGCTGCGTGATAGATGAGGGTGATAAATAGAGATCGGATTTTTATGCAATTGCACATTTCCTCTGTTTAGTCGTAGAAGTCCGGAGTTCGGGTTGCCTTCCGAAGTTTCGTTTTGTATATTTTTGCATATTTGTACTACGCTGCATAAAATTGCATATTTCGGGGTTAATCTAGACTGTTGCATATTTTACGATCAATAATGCATACAATTGCATATTTTAGGTATGATTTTATTATTTCCTCGTTTGGCTTATTTATTCTAAAGGAAAAAATCTGTTAATGGTGGATATTTAATTATTCACATTTTGACTTCTCTTGAATGTTTTTCTTTTATTCCCTTGAATACTACACCCTGTGTTGCAAAGGAACGATTCGCAGAGTTGAGAAACAATATAAACGAACGACACTAATCAGAGCTCTGTTTCCTGGTTAACTGAAAGAAGTGCTTTCTCAAATCGGGGTCAACGACTGGGTCTTTGTCTTAGAGCATTGTTTTTGTAGAATCAGTCGCTACTCGTATACTACTCTTTATCACTTCTCTTTTTCATTTTGCCTTGGGCTTACGAGAATTGTATTATGTCTATTCGTCCGATGTAATTTAATCCACAATTTCTATTTGTTTTAGTAGGTATTTAGGTTCGTCAGGTTGTGTTTTTACACAATTCTCATTTTAAGTGCATATTTTTGCATATTTATTAAAATGTTACTGCATATTTTATCGCATCTTCTGACATTTTATACTGCATAGAAAGTCTATCCCTAGAGATGAAATACGCTGGAAAATCGTCTAATTGGGTATAAGTTGAAGAACTCTCTGCCAAAGAAGAAACGCCACAATCAGAAATTATAACTAAATAGATACTAAAAAAAGATATGCGCACGATAGAAGAAGTACTTTTTATTTTAGGGCTTGAGAGCTATTTCTTTCTTGGTAGCAACAAAGGCGCTATTATCTACAAAGCGTTGGAGTATCTAATCGATAGTTGCCTTGACAAACACGTTGGGCGTGTCAGTTGTATCTAGATCGATTTCTCCGTCAGAAATAACAGGACTTGCAATATGAAGTGAAACGAGCCATGGCCATAGATGTAATTACTTACACATTCGTAATAGTTCCCGTTGAGTATATCAAATAATGATCTAATAATGATAATAATAAAGACACTAAACTGCATTGTTAGGTCAATGGTGAAAAATCTTAAAATCTAAAAGAATCATTCTTTATGAGTTATTCTCTGTCCTAAGTTAGATA